AGATTTAGTGTTTACAATTAGTTTACCTTGATAGGAAAGCGGATTATCTCACCTCATTATAAAACCTTTAATAGTACGTTTAATTAGTGGCATTTTTCAATTAGCCTCAAATTAGTTATTTGTCTATTGATTAATTTATTATTTTCCACACAAAAAACACACATAGATTCATTTCTATAATTGATGAGATCTTCCCGGGAATACAAATAATTTTACGATTCACATATTTCATTATTATACAAAGGGAGTTTTAACTGTTAAACATCTCAGTATATTATAAACAAAGATGAATAGTGGCTAGTAGTGGAATCCAGGACGTGCGTTTGAAGCAAACGGTAATAGGTTCGAGTCCCAGAGTGAACATCAACTCTGAGATGCAGATACATCCAGTTGACGAGTCACAAACAGGACGAAACGAGCGTCCTGGATTCCTTTGCTAGCTACTATCCATCTTTGTTTATAATGCTTATGAATTAAGGCAATGTCGAGGGAACCCGTACAGGATGCACGTATGCCAATCAGAGACCGATTAATTGCAATCCTAAACATCAACGGGAAGATTCAAGTAAACAATACCGAGTTATTATAACCCAATAAGAATAATGAAAGGTAGTTTTTCAGATCCATTTATGGACCAATACTATGAGTATATTTTTATCGTATAATTGTCATGTAACTAAACTGTTCATATTCATGTCCCACTTATTATGAGCTTTATTTTGACCTATGAACTATTATTATACGATTTACTATTCTTGAATTATTTCCTATCTGTTAATCACTATCTCCCTCATTCACAGCCACTTTTGGCCGAGTATTATAAAAATGTTATTTTCTATTTTATGGTACGTTGTGGTCTGTTTGATCGGTATATAAACCGAGTATGTTTGAAATAAATGATTCATATTGCAGAGATTGAGATTGGTGTTATGGTCTTAACTTGTTGGCCAAGACAGGGAGCGAGACCAATCAGGACTCTAGGCAGCTCGCACGTTTTCTATGCGTGACGTGTTCGGTTGATAATTCGCTGAGGTGTCGTTGCGTTGTAACATAAACAGGGCACACAGCTTCACAAGTTATAACACAAGTGAATCTCGATATATTGTTTTAACATAGAAATAAACAGTGAAATAATTTTGTTAGATTATTGATTTTATTCCAGCTGAATATCAGCTGATACTTGAAATCGATGATGAAAAGTTACAATATTTCTACTCTTTTTAATTAAAAGAATATCTATAATGAATTACGGTCTTTATTCTTTTTTTTTCTTACTGAATAATTCAGATGATTTATTATTCAATAACTGAATCACGTAGAAACAAGAGAGAAGGTGATGTGATAGTTTCTGTTATCTAACATCAGTCACCCTTTTTTTCTTAATTTTAATAAATCACCATTATGTCATAAGCGATATATTCCTATGATATTTTTAAATAAGAACATGACATAATCTGAAATTGGTAAAGAGTAAGAATAAAGATTTGTGTATAATAACAGAAATTCATTTTATATGAATATTTTTCAATATTAGAATGAATATACGAATATTCGTCAAGATTAGAACGAATAGTTTGACAGAAATTGGGCGCCAAGTATAGAGAAGTCATTATATGTGGAGAATTATATTTGAAATAATCTCAGTGATTGGAATTTAAATAATTCCAATGTTTCGTCCAGCTAACTTGTCTGGACTTCTTCAGGGTAATATAATCAAAAAGGTTGAAATTATTTAAATTTTCATCGCTGAGATTATTTCAAATATAATTTTCACCTATAATGATTAGAATGAATAGTTTGACAAAAATTGGGCATTGAGTAAAACATTATCTGTGAAAATTATATTTCAAATAATCCCAACAATGGAAACTTAAATACTCTGAAGAAGTTCAGACAAGTTTATTGGACGAAACATTGGAATTATTTTAAATTTCAATCTCTGAGTTTACTTCAAATATAATTTTCACATATAAATTCATTTTATTTCATGAGATACTCATACACTGTTGCTTATAACCTGTAATAGGTTTAAAAGTCAAAATCGAAAATGTTACTTGAAAATACTTAAATAAATGAATTTAGTCGGGATTTGTTATAATTATGACTTAGAGTTATACCACCAAAGATGTAAATAAACTTAAGAGATGAAATGAAAATTATATGTATATATCCTATAACTTTGATAGTAACACAATGAAATCAAAGGGTTAAAAATAAATGGTTACTTAATGTACGAATCCTTTAAAAAATATATTGATTATGTGTAACAACGATGTTAGTTATCACGTGATTTGTCCACCAATCAAAATACAACTTATACAATCTTAGCACTGTGCCAAATCAATGGCATTCAACCGGTATGAGCAGCCTAGCGTCCTTATTAGTCCTATGGTCCGCCTAGCCCGTCCACTTGAGTCCATAACACCAAAACCAGCTTCCACTATGTGAATCGAATCGAATTATTTATTTCAGACATACTGGGTTTATACATAAAACAAACAGACCTCAACGCACCATAAAATAGGAAACAACATCTGTACACAATAGAGTCAAAAAGTGACTGTGAACGTGGGAGACAGTAGTCAGGACCTTCGGTCTCACACGTAAACACTTAACCTCTAGACCACTGAGCCAGTATTCAATGGTGTTAATGTCTAGTTTCAATCAATCCATGAATACAAAGCATGGAATTAATATATAATATATGTATATATGCAGTCAACTGAAATAATGATTTCAATCCGGTTACAATGACATCTGGTTCAAAATTTTTCACATCCAAGTTAAATGATTAAAAATATGAGATTTTCATCATTCTGTTGTTATTCGTAAATTGATTATTTATCAACCTCATACTTCCCTTTTCGTGAAGTTATCACAGATTTTCTGATATTCCATTAATTTGTTAAGACAGCTTCGAATGATAGTCACTATACTGTTTCATTTTTTATGGAATAAATTTATCGTACTGATTATTAACAAGTGGCTTGTTTTACAGATCTAAAATTACAACCTGTAAAGTACTTAAGTTCTAATAATCATTAATCAACTTTGATCTGAGAAGTAGTAGTGTGACAATTTCAGCAGTGTATCATACCATTCTTCTTTATATTCAATTATCAATGTTTTCCATTCAAAATAATCATCCTTAATGGTAATGTGAAAGTGCATTGACGGGTAAGTAAAGTAATGAAGTTATTTTAAAATATATTCACAAGATCTATCATATTTTTTTCAGATCAACTTTGACTTCTGATTACAGTGTACAAAGTATACAAATCAGTTATTTAATCGATAATTCGCGAGATAGTGATCTCGCATATATTGCTGAATATTTAGTTTGAAGTTGTTCACCAATCAAAATTCTAAATCATTTCTTTATATGGTAATTATTAACTCCATTTTAGTGATTTATTTCGATACATAATCAATAAAAGTTGACAAGTGAAAACGTACTTAAACATCTATTTATTTAAAAGATACTAGTCAAGTAATAGTCCTAAAAGTTTGTTATTAGATAAAATTTATAAAGAAATGATAAATTTTAACCTTACGATCAATTTCTAAAGACCAACTGACTAACTAATGACTCTCCAACATCACAGTAAACAGAAATTATTGTTATTTCTACGAAGTACATGTATCAGCACCCTTTGTTAAGAGAGGGGATGACGTTAGTTAGTTGGAGGTAATCGGCAGAAAAGGTCAAAAATAAGTTTCGGGCTTTTCAACACCCATCTGAAAGGTATACCGACATTCCTTGTCGAACTAGTCCTTAAAATGGAATTTGAATCCTCGTTGCTTAATTTCAGAATCCAAAACGACACTGCTAAGCTATTTACATAATTAATGGACCTCTTGTAAAACTGAAGATCACGTTGAAAGCATTAGTTATTTCAGGATTGTAGCCAGACCTTGCCGATGAGTGCAAATCAGTGCAAAAGCTGGACCAATGAATGTTTCTTACTGGCGACCTCGAACTATCCAACACCAAAACATAGTTTATGCGGTATCGATACACTTAAACTAGTAATCACACTTCAAATTGATCAATATGCCTCGACCAACAATAAGGACTAGACGGACACAAAATTAGTTACTACTCAGTGATCACTTAACCATGAGCTACATGATACAAATTTCCAACCTGAGTGAAAATATCAATGCCTCAGTGTTACTGATCTATATTTTATACATTAGTTCTAATAAACAAGAAGGGTAGATTGATAATTTCATTATAATTATCCCTAACTCTTTAGTAATGTTCTCATTAATCATGGAAAAAGTTATCTATAGTGATAAAGTATCTTTTTGATGATAATAGTTTGAAATTTCTTGTATGCCTTCAGCATTTATATTTCTCAACTGATTATAAACCTTCGTTTTATCAAAGGAACAATCCAACGGTTCTTTACATTGCAATATATTTTTCTTATCTATTTATTCTAATCGTGTTATATTAGCATCAGAACGGGTTTTGTGGAGATTGTAGCAATTTCAATAGTTGAGATCATGGGTCAATTGAGACTAGACCATCATGGAAAACCTGGAAACACTTGACGGTCGTTTCGTCCTATTGTGGGACTCCTCAGCAGTGCGCATCCACGATAGGTCCTGGGTTCGAATCACGCGAGGCGAGGTCATGGATGTTATATTAGTTTACCGATTCATTGTGTCTAGAAAAGTAGGTGATTACTAAAAGTTTGAATATATTTTTCCAAATTTTCACTCTATGTAACAAACAATTAGCACCGATAATAATGAGTTGATAGATGATCCTATTCAAGAAGATTCAGGAATGAAACTATGCACTACACAAACGACTAGTATATTCTTAGCCAATTATAAGTTATTGATTGAGTTCAAACCTGTATTCATTTTTGATAATAAACAAAAGAATTTGAATATTCCAATAGTATATTTAATTTGTGCGAATAACACCATGTAATATAAATGTTTTTTGTTTGGAAACTGATATTCATATAGACATTTTGAAACTTTCAGCAAAATCCACCATTCTATAAGATACAAATAGAAAAAGCGGAAGAGTATGAAGTAGTTTAGAATAATTTAAAAATCAATGAATTGATAAAAATTAGTATCAGAAGCGTTTTTTGTGGATATTATAGTAATTTCAACAGTTGAGATCATGGGTCAATTGAAGCTAGATCAACATGGAAAACCTGGAAGCACTGGATGGCTGTTTTGTCCTATTGTGGGACTCCTCATCAGTGTGCATCCACGATCCTGCATGAGGGTATGGAAACCAGGACCTTCGGTTTCACACGTGAACACTTAACCTTTAGACCACTGAGCCAGCATTCATTGGTGTTAATGTCTAATTTCAACTAATCCACGATAAAAATTAATTGAAAATGCATTTGATTCAATGTTACTAATAATCAGTGAATTTTGAGTAATCCAGTCCGATTGAGTTTATTTGTTGACTATTAACCAGTTGTTAGATCAAAATTGATGAAATAATTTATAACTAAGTATAAAGAAAATTTGTTAAGTTGACAAAAATTGTGGTTTATGCTACTTATGCCTGTCAACATAAGTAGTATTTAACGCCTATCGGAAGTAAAGTGCTTACCAGCAGAAGATTGAGAAGATTGAATTGAAGAGAACGGGAATGTAAACTGATAGTAATTGTAATAGCAATGAAGTAACGATTACGTTAGAGATAACTGTTGGAAGATTTGTAAATAATGTATTTAATGTATGGTTTTCACATTTTACGAAACAATTTCTTACTTGAGTGTGCGATCACTACAATGTTACCTTTTTTAAAATTCTCAGAAACGTTTAGATGAACATTTTTCAATTCGGTCAGTGGATTGATGAGTTTAATATCTACCGTTGTTAGTATATAGTCTCTAATGGTCATTATAATTACAGAACCTAAATAACTTACTTCGGTTGTCATATATTATATCTTTGTCAATAATGAAATTCAAAAATTGATCTTAGCTAGATCACCATTGAAAATTTAGAAGCGTTAGATGACCATTTCGTCATAGTATGCAACTTCTCGACATTGAGCTAAGATCGGTTAGTGTTTTGACCTATGAAAATACAACAATCTCCATAAATCGTCATCACTGATGATTTTGAAATTCACAGTAAATCTCCTTAATTGACTTCATCTGATGACATTTTAGTGGTTCACATTGAGCTTCTGTGTCTTTTATTTTTGTCTATATCAGCCTTATCAGTAAATTTATCACTCCTTATCTTATTAAATTGTGTTGTGGTACTTTTCATGATTAATGTGATACACGTTTTCATCAGAGATTTATATGTGCATCTTAGTATGTATCTATCTGTCTTGTTTTGTATCTATTATTTGTTTGGATTTGTAAACTAAGTAGGACTTCGTGTTTTTGACTCAAGGTAATTTCCGAACCAAATACACATATTACTCTGACAGTTTGTTTGCTGAAATGTGATTGCTTTGTTAAAAAAATATTAGTCTTCTTAACACATCTGGTATTCGACTTTTAATATTGTATTGTTAAAACATGATTAGTCTTGTAGTGGTCCTGTTCTTTAAATGAACTTTCCTGTGGTTAATTCCAGTTCAATTTTCTGCTGTGTTCACCTAAAATATAACTTACAAATATCTCATGTATTTAATGTAATTTATTGACAGCCTTAACTGTTTCTGGTATTTTAGTATCTGGCCTAAAGAACACTCATAAACAAATGAATTATACATTCTAATGCACGAGGTCAGCATCGCGATGACCTACATTTCACATACAAGGTTATTTGGGATCTACATTTCTCTAGAATCAAACATGATCAATACTTCAAATATTATCTTGTCCATTGATAAGTAATTCGAAGGTTGTTAGTAAACGCATGCATTCATAAGTATAGTCTTCAATGAGAAAAAGTTTCATATGTGTTAGATAGTATCAATGAAATTGCAATTAAGTAAATACTTTCATATAAAGTATTAAATTAACGTATCATTACCTTACATAGTCGATAAACTACAAATTGTTCATTGAAGCTTAAGGTTATAGCCATGAAAATATCATGTAGAAGTGCATTGCACTAAAACAGAATAACACAATAAATTTAAGTGAATAATATAACACAATGGAAAGTCATTTTATCCAACAAATATAATTATCATCTGAATATAGTGTGAGACATCAATAACGAAGAATATATGCCAGAATAATCCAGGTTTGAATGTTGAAAGAAATAGCTACGACTAAGCAGATGAAAGATATGACATATATTGAGGAAAGCACCCAACTGCGTCACAAGACAAGCCCTCACTTGAAATTTTCAAGGTCAAAGGAGAAGAAAAAGGCCAAAGAACACATTACGCCAAGAAATAGAGACAGGCATGAGAAGAATGAACAACGATTGGATAGAACTAGAAAGAAAGGCTCAGAACAGAGTGGGTTGTAGAATGCTGATCGGCGGCCTATGCTCCATTGGGAGTAACAGGCGTAAGTAATTAAGTAAGCAGATGAAAATTAAATGTGTAATGTAAATATTTAATCATATTTTTTTCCAAAAAAAAAGGGTTATGTATATCACTGAAACCAATAGACTATATATGTTTAAGTATATTAGACAAATATTTGAGTTAATTCAATCATTTGGTTGAACTATAAAGAAGAATTATTCGTTGAAAAAAAAATACAACATAAAACAAACTCACTATGATAGATAATTTGGGTAATTTATCACACATAGCTAATGTGTTATTGTATAATTCTGATAGAAAAGGTTCCGACATTAACATTGATTTTATCAGTTGTCCAGTATTAAGACAACATTTACAAACTGACGGTGTGTAAATAGGGTAGAAAATATCGTTAGTCAATTTATGATAAATAATGGTGTTAAAAAAACGTTAGATTTAAGCATTTTCAAAGGTTCATGGTTTGATACTGCACTTGATAAATCTATATCGTAGAATATACTTTGTGTGTTGATAGCTTGATACGGTTTTGAAGTTCATCACTACGTAATTCAATCGATTTTATTATAATCAACTTGTCCATTGATACCGACTTGCGTCCATAATATGTTCAGATATATACTAAAACTAGTATTTATGGGGAACGTAAAGGAAAGCGACGACTATGTACATACTCCGAAGGACACTGGTCAAACAAAATCTCAGATATCAATGACAGGATAATAAAAACCTACAGACACGGTTGATAAACTTGTGTATGAGTAATGATGAAGGAACTCAATAAAATGTAAAATAGCGGTAGTTTATGAAGGAATAAATATTTCAACTACTCAGCCAAAATAAGAGAAGCACGGTCACAGTCTATAAAGGTTTTGATTAGTTAATTCAAATAGACCAGAATAGGGTTTGTGGAGATCGTAGTAATTTTAATAGTTGAATTCATGAGTCGATCAAATTTAGACCCTCATTGAAAATCTAGAGGCATTGGACAGCCGTATCGTCCTAGTATGCGATTCCTCAACACTATGCATCCACAGTCCTGCATGACGGAATCAAAATCAGGATATTCGGCCTTGCGCGCGAACAATTAACCCTTAAACCACTGTGTCGGTATCCAACAGTGTTAATGTTGTGACCACTGGAGTTCAGTCTGTGTCGGGTAGAGACAGGTAACTACCTCAGACAGTGGATGAATGGTTGAGCAACCATTCATGAATCGGTTGAAGTTAGACATTAACACCGTTGGATGCCAGCCGGTCCAGTGGTCTAGAGGTTAAGCGTCTGCGCGCGAGACTGAAGGACCTAGGCTCGAATCCCGCGAGGCGGGATCATGGATGAGCACTGCTAAGGAGTCCCACAATAGGATGAAACGGCCGTCCTGTGCCTCCAGGTTTTCAATGGTGGTCTAACATCAATCGGTTCATGATCTCAATCAATAACTTAATAATCCCTACAACCCTATACTGATATCCTGAAAATATCTTATTCAAATATGTGCTGATTATCGATAAAACTCTATGGAAAATTATGAACTATCGAAATCAGTCTCATGGTAATGAACTTTAGTCAAAAATAAAAAAAATGGTTGGTTTTTTTGTTTAATTTGATTACACATAATAAATAAATCGCATTGATCTATACATCTCTGTGTATGTGTATTTCTCATTGGTATCTGTTTGTGATAACTGTGAATAGTTTTGTGTGAAATCAATAATTCCTTCTTTTTAACTAGCAATAATGTTATGATTGGTTGTTTGTTTGATTTTTTAATCAATAATGATATCACTTCTTATATACTCGTAATAAGTAGCCATAGAAATTGAAGCAAATTAATAGATTATTTAAATACAACATAAAATTGTATAAACTTACCAGGTACAATAGGTGGGTAATAACAGAAACCGAGAAACTGTGAGGGAAAAAAATAGTTAATTGACAACTCAGTTATGGTTTTAAGTTAAAATTGTGGTTCTGTGGTGGTGGTGGGGTAATTTACTTAGATTATTTAAAACCATAGAAGGATTGACATTTTACTTAAAGATATACTATAGTGACTTACAGCACACCATTTTTGTGGTACTATATGACGGAAAAGATAAAAGACCTGTGATGAAAGTTCATTTGCAAACATTCTACACTGTAAATAAGAACATGAAAATGAGGAAGAAAAAATAATGAAAGCTTTCTACATAACCGTAACTAATATTAAGGAAAAAAATGTAAATCAAGTAGCTATTTTACTAAAAGCTACTTGATGTAGCAATTTGATAACATTTAATCTTAAATAAGAATTTCTCACGGGTGTTTACCGTTAACCATTTTAATGTATTAACCTAAAATTCGTCTCCATGATTTACTTAAAACCATTAACAGTAATCTTATATATTTATTACGGGGGCTAAGTGGTTTCATTAAAATGATTGTTCTACATGTTATAATACAGTTTAAGTTTTAATAGGAATAAAGTTGATAGGCGTTACTAATTATGACCAATTATCAGCGGCCTAGTATTGTAAATACTATCTTTGAATCCTATCGGTAGAAACTTACATCATGCGGCGTATAAATGAAGGAAGATGAGAACTACTATAGAACATAAAAATTAATACAATCATTAGACATTACATCATACCCAACTCAAATGAAACCGACAGTTATTGCTCTAGTTAATTTTTCTAACTTAGACACATGATTACCTGTTTATGTAAGTGATGAGCATAGTTGGTAAGTTAATGGAAAATTCAAAGATTTCAATGTATTTTCCTAATGATATTCAAATACACACTTAATTAAAGTATTATATGTACGTTCAAAATAATGATTAATCAACATGAATAGGGAATACTTCATAACCTTTTAATTTATTCTCCAAAACCATTAAATTAATACACCAACCTAAAGCAAACAACAAGTGATACTATGGACAGGTAATCACTATGCATCAGGAATAGTTGAATTTAATTAGGCATGACTTTTCACTATAACTTCAAGAGTTCATTAACAATGTAAGGAATTTGTAGATGGCTTTTTTTAAACCATGGATTAATAACAGATAAGAAACAACAGAAAACATTTGAATCATAATCTTGTCCTCAATATTACCCGTACAACTGGGAGATTCATGAAAATAAAGTAATAAATTATAACTGATGAAGTTCAACTAGATCTGAAGTGAAACAATTACCGATAGATGAGATTTAATAATTTTTGAGCTAAATCTTAAATTTACTGCTGTTAAAAACATAGATCATTAGTTATCAACTAAATGATTTAGAGAGAACATATTTGCTTTGAGACCTGAAGTTTTCAATCTCCTCTTCGACTAATAAAGCGGTAAAACTAAAGAGTATCCTAGAAATTGTGAGGAGTACAACTGTTCTTTGTCAACTATTTCTCTAGTAACTATTTTTCTGATAATCATTGCATGCAAGTGATATTTGTCATTCTGTCCACCATTTTAATTACAACTGATATATTGAAATATAAGACTTCGAAGTTTCATATTCACATCATGATCATATTTTATTTTATTTTGTTACCATATATTATAGCATTTCCCTTTAATCCAGGAGGCTTTACGATATAGATGCAGCCACGATTGGATTGAGTTGTACTCATCATGCGTATCTGCCTAAAAACTGATCAAAAATGATAAAATAGTAACCCATTGTAATTCTGCAATACAAGAATCTTTCGATCTCACAATCAGTATGAAAGAACTCATTCATTTATAATTAGAGAGGGTTTTGTGGAGATTGTAGTAATTTAATAATTGAATTCACCAGTCAGTTGAGGCTAGACCACCATGAAAAACCTAGAGCGTTCGCGCGCGAGACCGATATGACCTAGGTTCGAATCTCGCGAGGTGGGATCGTGTATACGCACTACTGAGGAGTCCCACAATAGAATGAAACGGCCGTCCAGTGCTTCCAGGTTCTCCATGGTGGCCTAGCTTCAAATAACTTATTGATTTAGTCAATTTATGATAAAACATCACAATATACTTTAACCGAATTCTTTATTTTGAAAAAAAATATAGATCCTTATTTGCGAAATTCAGTGTTATCGTATTTATCTGTGTCTCATTGTAAGGATTATTTCACCAATATTGTTTTCATAATAATTCAGAATCTTTTTCGAAATTCTGTGTTCATGAATATCGATTTAGTCGACTACATATGGACGTGTAATTTGAGAATTTATTTTATTGACAACGAACTTGATCCTGACCATGCTCGAGATATAAACAAAATTTAAAGCTATATAGGTTGACAGATGCCAACAATGTAAAAATGGTAAATATACCGTGATATCACCATTGAGCAAACAATATCAAGATGCTTACATAAGCTTAGAAAAAATTACATTTTAATCATAAGCAAACTAGACAAATCAACAAGATCAGTTCTTATCAGTATAGGGTTGTGGAGATTATTAAGTTATTGATCGAGATCTTGAACTGATTGATGTTAGACCACCATTGAAAACCTGGAAGCACTGGACGACCGTTTCGTCCTATTGTGGGACTCCTTAGCAGTGCTCATCCACGATCTCGCCCCCGGGATTTGAGCCTAGGTCCTTCAGTCTAGCTCTCAGACACTTAACCTCTTGACCACTGAGTCGGCATCCAACGGTGTTAATGCCTAACCTCAACCAATCCAGGAAATTGCGCGACCATCTTCTATTGTATTAAGCTATATACTTGTCTCTACCTGGCACGGAATAACTCCACTGGTCACGGCTTCTCACTAAAACTCCGAGAATTCTCTCACAAAGTTAGTCCCACAATAGGACAAAACGGCCGTTCTGTGCTTTCAGGTTTTCATTGGTGGTCTAACATCAATCGGTTCAAGATCAGTTCTAAAGAACAAAACAGATGATCCTACTGAACTGGATTGATTGGTTTAGTATTTCCATATATACAATTGTATATCAGGGTAAAGCCTGATAATGATTTAATTGAAAACAACATTGTTCACTTAAAGATACTGTTATAATTTTGAAAGATACATTTATGTATATAATGAATTGAATATTGAAAAAAGTTATTTATTACTTACGGAAGTATTAAATGGACCTGTTTCCATACAAAGTGTTTCAGTTATTTTATTGATAGACTTGTTTGTTGATGGACTTAAAATCATACCTAAAACTTTTCCAGTACCACTTTTACAAGTAATGCACTCTGAAATTGACAGAGAAAATAATGTAAATATACTATTTATAATATAATATTTCAATAGTTGAGATCATGAGTCGATTGAAGCAAGACCATCATGGTAATCCAGGAAGCAGTAGATTGCTGTTTTGTTCTATTATCGGACTCCTCAGAAGTGCGCATCCACGACCGCGCCTCGCGGGATTCGAACCCAGGACCTATCAGTCTCGCGTGCGACCGCTTAACCATATAATATAATATTATATTTATTCCACCCCAAAGAGAAAAGTTTATAGTTATCTACCATATAGAGGTGAATTCAGTAGTATGCTTTTAAGACAGAGATTGGAAGTAGCTATCGAGAAAACCTATTATATTGCTAAACTGGTTATGATTGGAAAGTCTAAGCCCATGATTCCAAATAGACATAGACAAAACACAAATGATTACGTCACATCCTATTGCATTTACCAATTTACATGTTTATGCAAACACACATACATAGGGAGGAGTAATCGAACAATAGAAACAAGGTTCATGGAACATGTGCCTAGATGCCTTCAAAACCAGTTAATTTCAAATGATCTGATCAAAGTGGGAAGTAGAAAACCATGTTCATCGATAGCCAAACACATAATTGACATCAATACAGTTCTTAAAACGTTGCATAGAAATTGTTAAGGATGAATTCTCAGATTTATTAAAGCCTTGGCTATTCATAAATTTAAGCATCCCTTATGTGTACAAAAACAATTTGTTGTAACCTTGAATTCACCCTGGTAATCCTTTAGTCATTTTATGGCCTAGGGTAATGCGACAGTTTCTTATTCTTTCTATACGATGTTAAAAAACGTTCTCTCCCCTTTATTACCTTGTTTATTTGAACCTTCATTTAATTAACCTCTATTCATCTTCATATTAAATGCCTTGACAAGTATATATGCAACCAGAAATGTTCAAAATGCATAGCGTAGAACAGATCAATTCCGTATTCTCATTGCTCTTACAAAATTCATAAAAAGGACTAATTGCTTTCAAGTTATTCTTGAGTTTTTTTATTTTTAAGAATTGTAAAGCTATTTTTTGGGGATTTAGTTTAATTTGCTTATGGGTACATTTTCTTCTAAAATTGAATATGCTCATTAAGATGTTTAGATACAGCTAATACAAAGATATTTGTTGATGATAGTACCTTTTAAACATAGGAATATCAAAGAAATTCGATTCATTATTGGTAGAGAATAAGTTGTGGAACATTATCACAATCAAATTGATTTGTGATTACAATACACTAGGGAAAAAGAATTGTGCAAAGTTACACTTAATTCATACTATTGCAAACACTAATTCATATGTACGTAATTATTAACGCTGTGATGTTATTAGAAGGTCTGTTCAATATACTTAGTATTATTTGGACAGTTCATCGAATCCTAAACAACCTCATCTTTTATACAACAAAAACATTTAGAGCTCATTTAATCTTAAAAAGTTAACCATATGAAATATTGACAAAACAGTTGTCGTTTAAGAATTCAGTTAATTTCATGTATAGGTTTCTCACTACTCAAATATTAATATTCAATACCAATTGTTATACTATCGTATCAACGCGCAAATTACCATCCAAACTGAGATTATTAAATATATACGTTGATTAATCACTAAATAATGATAAATATCATGTTTTTCTAGTCCTTAGTGTTAACCAAATCCTGTCGATCAAGTCGCAATGTGACCACCAATTTAAGTGATTCGATATTTTAATGTTAGTTGGCTGGAATTAGTCAGCAGGAATTTGACCTTGCCGTGACAACTACTCACTCAAAATCACAGGTATAACTTGTTGACGAGTGTCAACTAGCAAAACATCTAAGTATCAGGGTTTCTTATTAATTATCTTCAACCACACAACATTGTTACTGAATATTTATGCTTATATTTTTAATTAGTACTTAAAACTTGTTTAGAACTCAAAGATGTCTGTTTTCATTGGATAGATTCATTTAGTATAATTCGCGGTATGATAATATTTTGAAGGTTTTTAATGTACTCCATTCGTTTTGAGATTTTTGACTTGAGTACAGCAATTAATGTACCAAAAAAACACTGAACAAATTTGATCTAATTAAATGGATAATAAAAAGAGAAACAAGTTGTACGTCATATATTGGTCTAGTGGTTAAGCGCTGAGGCGCGTGAGTGATAAATCCTGGGTTAGAATCTCACGAGGAAGGATAATGGATGCACACTGATGAGGAGTCCCACAAAAGGACGAAACAGCCATCCAGTGCTTCCAGGTTTTCCATTGTGGTCTAGCTTCAATTGACTCATGACATCAACTATTGAAATTACTACAATCTCCACAAAACCCCTTCTGATATATTGAAAAGTCAAATACGAATACATTCCAATAAATATACATTTTATCGTTAGTTGATTTAATGACAGAATTACTTACGGAAAATGTTCGGATGACTTCCTCTTCTATTATACTGTTTTTCAAAAGAGTAATAATAAAGAACAAAGTGAACAGAATGAAGAAAGAATTGGTGAAACATAACTCCGATTTAACATTGACGTGTCTATTGCCTTTTTTATTTTTAACCCCTATCTGTTACTTTTTTCATCTATAATACCTTTGCTCGTATTGTATACTTGCAGGAGACTGATAGAATGTAACAGATTAGATTGTTCTGAATAACACTGTACAATATTACTTCATTTTATGGTTTACCATCGTCTTTTTGGAGATAAATTCTTCTTTTCGAAAACTTATAATCATTGAAAAACTCAAAAGTCTAAGTTCTGAATTTTTTGTAGATATCTTTAAACCCCCAATGTGTCGGAGAATGCTGGTCGGCGGCCTATGCTCCGTTGGGAGTGACAGGCGTAAGTAAATTAGACTATTGTCCTCTGTGAATTTTGGATTAAAGTGTAAAGGCAAATAATTAGATTTATGTTAAATTATACCCTTTAATCAACCTATAATCGATCGCTCTTATTTTGAAGCTAAATAAAACAGCAGATGACCTAGCCCTCTCATCGCATACACACGAACAAATGCAGACAAAGGCCGTCAGTGAAGCAGCAGTCTCTGCATCAGTAGGCCTCAGCATACACAAAGGGAAAACCAAGGTCCTCAAATTCAAAGCGGAAAACAGCAATCCGATCACTCTTGATGGCGAAACCCTGGAAGATGTAGAGTCCTTCACATACCTAGGAAGCATCATCGATGAACAAGGAGGTTCAGATGCAGACGTAAAGGCGAGGGTCGGCAAAGCAAGGGCTGCATTCCTACAATTGAACAACATATGGAACTCAAAACAACTGTCTGTCAACCAATATCAAAGCCAGAATCTTCAATACGAACGTCAAGGAAGTTCTACTGTACGGAGCTGAAACTTTAAGAACCACAACAACCACCAACAAGAAGGTACAAGTATTTGTAAATAGCTGTCTATGCAAGATACTCAACATCAATTGGCCGGATACTATCAGGAACAGCCTACTCTGGTTGAGAACAAACCAGCTTCCAGCTGAAAAGGAAATTCAGAAAAGACGATGGAAATGGATAAGACATACATTACGCAAATCGTCAAACTGCATCACGAGGCAAGCCCTAACTTGGAATCCTGAAGGGAAGCGAAAAAGAGGAAGGCCAAAGAACACATTGCGTCGGATAATAGAAGCAGATATGAGAAGGATGAATAACAACTGGAAGGAGCAGGAAAGTATTGCTCAGGACAGGGTTGGATGGAGAATGTTGATGAGCGGCCTATGTTCTTTCACGAGGAGTAACAGGCGTAAGTAAGTGATGGTTTTATCTAACTAGGTCTATAAGATTTTTCAGTCGACAAAATTTATCTCACATCAATGTAACACAGTCTACTTTATTGAAAAAAACAAACAGAGATTATAAATATCTCAACTTAATTAAATATTCAATCAGACAATTTTCATTGATTTTACTGACCTTTTGAACCTGTAACTGTTGTGTAGAATCTTCCATTACATTATTCATACAGAATACTGAAATTTCAAAAGAATACAATGTAAGATGAATAAGAAATTTCATGAATTCACTACTTACCTAATGAAATAAGTAAACATAATATACATAATGATTTCATAGTTAATGGTTAATTATTATCATTCTACTTTAATTATATAATGAATATTTATACGTAAATTGATTAAGAACTTTTTCACCATCATTATTCCTCATCATCATTAACAGGATTAATTATGTAATCGGTCATTACTTATCTTAATAATAATAATAATAATAATAATAATAATAATAATAATAATAATAATAATAATAATAATAATAATAGAACCATATTACTGAATATTATTATCTAATATGGATATGCTTATAGATAAAAAGGGTAAATATCAATTCAATGTAATCAAAGTTCAAATAATTAAATCAGTCCATGTTAGAATAAACTTTTATAATAAAATATTGTTTTATTTTATTGTTGAATATTTATAATTGTGAATGTTTTATTTCAATTGAATTTAAACAATTTCTTATTTATTTTCATGTAAACTTTTGTTTAAATAAACATGAACTCTTTAAATGAATTAGATTGAGAGCGAATTTTATATTTGAATATTTATTGATTATGAATAATGTTGTGGTTTGTTACATAATGGTTGTTTCCTAGTTTGTTTGTTTGTTTGTTTTTTATCTTGTTGATTGATTTAGTCCAAGAGGTTGGTGACTAAATTTCTAATGACAGAATAAAATGTAAGAAAAATTTGAGTTGAATGGATTCTAGATTTCTAATCATCTATCTTTATATTACTGATTTGTATGTCAGTCGATTGAGACAGGAGATTGTGATATTTGTATGTAATGGTGATTAGTTTATACATATTTTTTGTAGCAAATTCGAATTTTAAAAAACAGCTATTTTAAATGTCAGAAGGGGTTGTTTGTGGATATTATAGTAATTTTAATGGTTAAGATCATGTGTCAATTGAAGCTAAACCATCATGGAAAACCTGGAAGCACTGGAATCCCGTTTCATCCTATTTTAGGACTCTTCAACAGTGCGCATCCATCATCCCCCGTAGCGAGATTCGAAACCAGGACACATCGGTCTCGCGCATGAACGCTCAACCTCTAGACCACTGAGCCGGCACCCAACGGTGTTAATGTCGAACTTCAACTAATCCAAGAAAGTGAGAGACACATCCACCATTGTCTTCAATGAGTTACTATCTCACAACAGACCCGGTTAAATTCCACTGGTCACTGCTTCTAACTAGAACTTCTAACATTTTAAATATGCTTTCTCTCGGCTTGAATACTGATCCACCACTAAAGTACACATTGGATAGTCCTGGGATTTACTGGTTAGCATATCAAATCCAATTAAACTACTCCTTCCTATAGAGATCCAGTTGATTACTAGGTTTCAATTCTACGTTGATTACAAAAATATTTCAGTGTAACTCTAATTATAAAATTTCAGATTTTTAATAATATCATACCTTACCGGTCAAAATTGTGCTGAGTTAAATATAGTGAGTTTCTGATTATTTATTAATTAGACTACACAACTATTTAGTTATGTTTCATTGATAATTTGGTTTTACTATTGTAGTGACTCACATTTACCACGAGAACACGACTGGTTTATTAAAAACAATTATTATTATAACCAACTGTACCAGTGTTTGTTTTAATGTGCTTTTGTTTGACTGTGCTAATGACAGCTATATTGTGCTTCCATTCTTATTCTTACACTTTGATTGTGACTTCGCGCGAATTCGGTTACGTTCTGTAACCAAGCTTGTATCCTGGCACGATCTCGGTTTCCTTTCGATACCACGAGATCGCCAGCAAATATATCTCGACTTGGTCCATTAACTGCCTTCTGATATTTGGCTTCTCGGGGATTTTATGGATTTATTTGGTTACTTTCAACCTTCGCCTTCTGATTTACTTGGCACGTGTTTCTTGGTAGCGGTGTTCATAGTTAATCTCGACTCGACGCCACACTACACTATCAAAAGATGATAATTATCATCAGGATACTTGAAATAAGAAGACATAAATGTCTAGATAATGTCTTAAAGTGCCAAAAGTTTCCAAACTTTCATTTACATAACAGCTGGTCGAAACACTCACTGACTAAAATAAGGATGAAACTGTTGGTCTGCATGTCACTTAGTAGGATATACTATCAGAACATCTCTGTGAATCATGTTAGGGTACTTTTATAATCAGACGGTGGTTGTGAGTAGTTGACAGCAAATCCTGGACCTAGGCACTTGTCAGCAAAGTGTACGTGTGATCTTGATGAAACTGAAACTCCCTCAAGATTACGGGTACATTTTGCTGATAAGTACCAAATAATACGAAACCTCGGTCCAGGGTTTCCTGCTGACTTTCTTCAGCCACCATCTTATCTCAACATAGTGCACGAGATATTGAATCACTTAGACTAGTGGTCACATTGCAACTTGGTAGATGGAATTCTATCCGTACTAAAAGGATTATTATTTGTTAATTTTTCATGTAATAATGATATCAACAGCAGTTCCTATATTTTATTCTTTTAGATAGGCTTAGGCTAACAGTCAAGCAATTAAGACATTTTAAAGAAGTTTACTTGCACACATGACTAATAAACTCATATTAGAAATGCTTACAAATAAGTTCTTTCAAAACGGAGGTGCTCACACAACAACTTCCACCTTCTGTTGATGTTGTTAACATGCATAGCACCTCTCCTACACTTAAGTTTGTTTTTGTTTAGTTTTTTTCGAGCTCTTCAATTAACTTATTTGACAGACAGTGTTATTCGAACAGTAAAAATCTGTAAATCTTGGTATTACTATCATGTCTATATGAACGTGTACGCTTGATCATATGTGACAGTCTACTCACATATCCCTCTCTCTACCTTAAATGTTAGTTTTTTAAAGAAGTTCCCGACAAGTCATTCTCTTCCCTATATACAGATCCTTGAATCTTATTAATTGATTCGACTCTTCATTCGATTCTCTATGCGAGTCTTAGTTCGCTTCTGTATTCGTTCATTCGAGCGTATTAGCTTTTCTACTCGAATTTGCTTGTTGTGCTTCTGGCTTAATGATTTGTGCTATTCAATAATAAACTGTAGTCGGTGCTTCGTACTGCCTTCTCAATTCATACACATTTCAGGATTTATTTAATAACGTTTATCAGGGCGATTGATATACGAAGCCTATGAGAAATATCTCGAAGCTTACGTGTTGACGTCAAAACTAGCTTTTACTTATACCCTAGATGAAACTAAAAGCAAAATGGGCATAACGACTCACACATTCTACAGAACAACGCACAATAAGTCAAGATTATAGTAAACATTTTTGGTTAGATTTTCTGTGTTCACTGTTTAAAAGTGTGAACTGTCCGGATAAATACATAATACAACCTATGGATGCTGCAAGTCAGACTTTCTTGCACGACACAAGGAATAAAGTGAATAAGCGTGAGTAGTAATCCAAAGTAAATTAAGCCCAATGTATTATTCAATATCCACATATATATTAGTCAATCTTTTTCATAGGTTTATGTCTAAACTACTACTTATTGTGTTTTTTCCAACTGGCTTTACGAACAGTTATCGACACAACTGTAAGTAAAAGTCAGTAAAAGTTGTTACATAATGTTTTATAGCTCATGTACATTTCATATATAACTATAGGATCTTGCAGCGCGCATTTCACCAACAGAGCAATATCCAAGTTTCATGATCATCATTACATCGAGAATTTCTTTATTGACCCATATTATCGGAACAGTATTGACATTACTTTTAAACTTATTACATATAAGACTGACATTTTACTTTTTACTTGTAGAACGCTGTAAACGAAATCTGAACTGGATCATAAGAATTAAACCAACTGCTATGTCCCAATTGTAAAGAATATGAAGTGACAAATTATTCTTGAAAAATGTACATATATTTTTTTAGATTTAATATACCATTCTATTTATAACACATCAGTCTGGTAACTATGGCGACGTAAGATACTACTAGTGTTGACGAGACAGGACTTCATAGATAACTGGAATAAACTGTCATTGCGGGTCCGTATGTTATCTTCAAAACAGTGTTCATTGTAGAACGATTTTACAAGTCAAGTCTTTTATTAGCTTTATGTATAATGATGCGCTACGGAAAATATGTTAAGGTGCAAAACAGTTAGATGCTAATTTTCGAATTTCATGGGGTTTGCTAAATGGCACAAAATCAAACTTGAATAAAATAGAAAAACGCCTTCTACATCAGAAATTATGGGTATTTTTCAATGAAGCCTATAAGATTTCCTCACAACGTTGGAGGGATTTTCCTAAAATAATTGGAAATTTTGCGGGGTTTTCAACCAAGTTCGATGGATTTCCTCAGTTAGTAGGAATTTTGAGGAGAAACCTCAAACCAGGGAAAGTTTTGAGGATCTTGGTCGTATTTCACTAGAAGTTTCCGTCAACTTTGAGGGATTGGAACTTCAAGGTATTAATAACAGAGACAACTTAATTGGAGATATTTACAAAGAATTGCACACGATCAGTAGAATTGACTGATTAAATCACAAACCAAGGAGAAAAGACTACTGTATGTGCATTTTGCGTACATTAAGCAATGTGTTGAAAACAACCCAAAGACGAAACAGCGCATTTTCATGGTGTTTCGTCAAGAATCAATACCAAGAGTTGGTATGTATTGTAGAATAATAAATAGAGATAGGGGAAATATCGGAATATACGTAAATCGACAATGAATGAAGTTGATCGGAAGAAAGTCTGGGGTTTTAAATAATGGCAACCTTGTAGGTGGTTTAAAACAAAACCTGCTACTAAGTTAGAGTAACAGTTTATCCCAACTTGTGCAAAGCATACGTAAGACATGAAAACCCGATGCCTCAGTCAGTAAGTTCAACAATCTGTTCTCGAAGATTATAAAAAACAGAATTAATGAGTATAACAAATGAACAATGACGATGTCAAACCAATCTTATGGAAAAATTTTGTTGATTTCAAAGAAGCCTTACTTTAAATATTAGGGGAAATGTGATTGAACGCCCAAAAATTTCCTAGTGTTTCGGGGAGACTCTATAGACTTAAATAAAAAAATTCCCATAATTTCCAATCCCTGTGGACCAAGATATGGTCATCTAGGCTGGGTCTTAAATGCTTTGTATGATTTCATACCAAGTTAGCGGTCAACCCATTTGCGTTTAACTTGAGCAGACATCACCGCGATTTGGTTTTTGCTCTATTCTATGCTCTCAAATGTCGTTTATTCTGCAGCCTTAATTAGTAAGTATAACAGACCAATTGGCTGATAATAATCCCCGCGATCCTTGGTACTAGGGCGATCTAGTCCTTCCTTGAACATGTTGTAGGGCCAGTAAAATTTCACTGAGCCCTAGCATAATCATCCAGCAGTTGGGTCATTGAACATCGAACAAATCATTGATCTTCGTCAAGGTCAAGGACAACCAACGCCCATCAGTTAATCGTACGCCACGGACTGGCCCATGAGGTGGTGGCCTTACCTTCGCTTTAACTTTAACTAATATATTTCTGTAATAACGTCCTCTGTGTTGTGAAGTCTTCAAAGCATCTATGGTACCTTGATACGTCAATGGGGTAGTTCACGTAAGGTGCTGACCACGAAGTGTGACTTCGACGTTAGTTGGTTCGTCACATCATTCCCATCTAACTCGAGTAGACCTCCGATCATTCGACATAGATCATATAAGTTGGTGATCTACAATGTCAATAGAAGGTTCTAATATTACCTGTTTTGTCAGGGACTTTTATTACTTATTGGGTGCGTATTAGATGGTCTGTCTGGGAGGAAACCATGATTCAAACTTTTAGGTGTGCAGACTTACTGGAAACCCTTTCCATGATAAGGAAATGTGGTGTCTGAATGAACCAATGATACCTTTGTACTGGTTGAATGTTTGATTTCAAATTCTAAATACAGTACATTCGTTGTGCCTGTGTCTTCTTAATTCAATTGCGTTAATCCTGGAATTCCTAATTCATACGACAATTAGAATACTATATTGGCGTCGTGATGGAACCTGCAATGGAAAAGTTGGATATTCATTCAACTCCTGAAGCTATTGAGGATTATTTGGAAAGGTTCGAGATTTGGAGCATGACCAAGAAAGATGTTAAAGGTGATAAAATTGTGGCACATTTTCTGACATTCATTGGGAGGGAAGCATACAGCTTATTAAAAACTTTGGCATATCCAGAAAAACCTATCTCACTCCCTTATGCAACTCTTAAAGAGCTATTGTTAAGTCATGTAAAATGCACCAGTTTTGAATGCTGTGAAAGGGCGAAGTTTCATAAGATGGTTCGTCAAAATGACCAAAAGGCTCGGGAATTCATCCTTGAATTACAGAAACAAGCTGCCAAGTGTAATTTCGGTGATCAACTTCATGTGCAACTGAAAGATCGATTAATTGCAGGAATTAACATACCGAGTTTGGAAAGAAAGCTGTTAAGAATGCCAAACTGTTCCTTTCAAGATGCTAGAACTGCATGTACTAACTACGAAGCAGTCAATGAACTTGATATCCAGTCGATGAAGATTTGTAATACTTTGCTTAGTCGTCGTGATGAACTACAATCTCAGGGTCAATCAAACTTGCGTTCATTTAACAGTGATTCCTATTCTCGTGTAAATATGAAAGGTGTTTCAACGAGGAATTACAAAGCAAATCACAAAGGTGAGATGAAGTTTGGTAAATGTTTATCATGTGGAAAGTTTCTTGCTCGGAATTCATGTGTATTTCGTAATGCTAAATGTTTTAAATGTGGTAAGGTAGGACACATTCAGTCAGTATGCAAAGCTACTGTCCATTTTGCTTCGAGCTGTACTAAATCTTGTAATTTAAATTTCAATAATTCGGATGTTTCTAGTGATCATTTGTCTTTGTCCACTATTTCGAAAGGTAATGCTCATATTCAGAAGCGATTATATACATCGCTTGGTTCATTTCATGACTTTATTCTGGACACAGGCAGTATAGAGTCCATTATTTCATTCAAGAACTTGAAAGCTTTAGATCCTAACGTTGTTGTACGACCCACTGAAGTATCAATACTGGGGATTACTGGACACAGACTGCCCATACGAGGATGTTGTGAATTGCTAATGAGAGATGACAATTCTTCATACATACCTTGTGAATTTTTAGTTAGCGAAACAGGACTGTCAATTTTGGGTTTAAAGAATTTGAAAAGGCTTAAGGTGGAGTTGTCCTTCTTAGTTTCTAAAGAAAATTCTGATACTTTACTTAAAGATTTGATAGCTATGTGTGCTAAGTGCAGTGGAGGTATGAAAATTAAGCCCATAAAACTTCAAGTACAGGGTGATCCCGTCTTTCTTAAAAGACGAATAATTCCTTATGGTCTTCGAGAAGCAGTACATAAGACATTAAACGATTTGTGTGTGAAAGGCATAATTGAGCCAATTCAGTCTTCAGTATGGGGTACTCCTATCGTTACGCCACTGAAGTCGGACGGCAAGACCCCTAGAATTTGCGGTGACTACAGATTAACTCTGAACTCCCGTTTGTTGAAGCAAACGTGCACGACGGTAGAAGCTGAAGATATTCTAAATCGACTTCATGGTTTTAAAGTGTTCTCGAAAGTTGACCTAAAAGATGCTTATCTTCAAATTCCTTTAGATGAATCTTCATCTTTTTTGACGACAATTAACACTCCTTTTGGTCTGTTCAAATACAATTCCCTTCCATTTGGTCTAAGTTGTTCTCCAGCCATATTTCAGGAAGTTATGAATAAAGTAGTTAGTGATCTTGAAGGTGTTGAAGTTTATTAAGATGATCTCATTGTTCATGGCTCTAACAAGGTAGTTCATGACCAGAGACTTATTGCTTTATTGCGTCGTTTAATTGAGAAGAATATAACAGTGAATTCAAATAAGTGTTCATTTTGTGTATCTAGTTTTGAACGCTTTGGATACCTAGTTGATGGTAATGGTTTTAGACCAGATATGAAACGACTAGCTCCACTGACTAATGCACCGTCTCCGAAAAATCTTACAGAATTACGTTCACTAGTGGGTGCTCTTCAATACTATTCCCGTTTTATTCCTAATTTTTCTTGTCGTGCAAATTGTTTATTTAATATTTTAACATCCAATTCATTCAAATGGAGTGAGGAACAAGAGTCATGCTTACGAAGTCTGCTGAAGTTTCTTCAAAGTGATGCTGTTCTTCGAACGTACTCCCCTAATGTACATTCTGTGCTTATTACTGATGCATCACCTGTGGGAATTGGTGCAGTTTTGGAACAGGAAGGTAGACCAGTTATTTGTGTTTCACGCAAACTTACTGTTACTGAACAAGGTTATTCACAGACTCAGTGAGAAGCATTAGCTGTGTTTTGGGCTGTTAAAAGACTTCATAAATATTTATTCGGAAAGAAATTCACTATTGTTACTGATCATGAAGCTTTAAAGTTTATTTATCATCCCGAAAAATCCTTAGCACGTTCCTCAGCAGCTATGGTTCAGCGATGGAGTATTGCTTTGAGTGCATATGACTATACGGTTCAGCACAGAAGTGCCAAACAGATCCAACATATTGATTACATTTCTCGACAGTCATTACAAGATAAACCTATTAATACTTCGGATTGTTTGTTAGTGCAACCTTTACCAGTGAGACGTTCAGATCTCATTAGAGAAACTCGTAGATATTTTGGATGTATACTCAGTGCTATAAGGAAAGGTTGGAATGCTAATTTGAAACGGAGATTTCCTATCTATTTTTCAAAGCGGGATGAGTTATCTACTACTCCTGATGGTATTCTGTGTTTAAATGATCGTGTTGTCATTCCTCCTTCATTGCGTAAATCTGTTCTTGAAAATCTTCATAGTGGTCATTTAGGTGTTGAGAAAATGAAGTCCTTGGCAAGGCTCACATGCTGGTGGTCAGAGATAAATGCAGATATATGTCGTACGGCAAACAATTGTGAGAAATGTCATCAGTTGAAAAATCATCCTTCGAAGTGGGTGCCATGGCCAGTATCGTCTGAGGCCTGGCAGAGGATTCATGCTGACTATTGTGGACCATTTCTTGGTAAATACTACGCACTAGTAGTCATTGATTCTTTTTCAAAGTGGCCTGAAGTTTTTTTCACAACTTCACCAAATTCTGATTTCACAATACAAGCATTAAGAAAGGTGTTTAGTCGAGAAGGTGTTCCCTTGGTGTTGGTGACTGATAATGGCTCACATTTTGCTGCAGATGCAGTCACTACCTGGTTGAACGGTATAGGGTGCAAACATCTATTTACTGCTCCCAGACATCCGTGTTCTAATGGTCAGGCAGAGAATTTTGTTAGGACACTAAAAACTGCTATTGATTCTATAGCCCCCTCAACATTTAATGAGCTGGAGAGGGGAGTAGATACCTTTCTATTGCAATATAGAAATGCCAAACATTCGGTGACGAAGGAGACTCCAGCGAAGCTGTTGAAAGGAAGAATTCTTCGGTCGAATATGAGATGTCTGGAGTCTGCAGAAGTTACATACTATCGAGGAAATGATCTTCGACCATCTACGGGTATTGTTCTGAAGAATGTCGGAAAATCGATGGTGCGAATTCTAGACATCGATGACTTAAGTACACACAGTCGACATGTAGATCAAATACAATTTCAGGAACCAGGTGAGTCAGTTCCAATTTCGATTGTTAATTCTAATGCTAATGAGCATATTCTAGATAATACAGAATCCTTATCCAATACAATGTCAGACAGACTCAGGATGAATTTGAGAAGAAGACGTACGATTGATTACAAACACCTAGACTCCAATTTAAGCTGTGGCGGATGTGGTGTTTGAATGAACCAATGATACCTTTGTACTGGTTGAATGTTTGATTTCAAATTCTAAATACGGTACATTCGTTGTGCCTGTGTCTTCTTAATTCAATTGCGTTAATCCTGGAATTCCTAATTCATACGACAATTAGAATACTATAGGAAATTATTCTGTTATTGAGAACATTTGGTTTAACATTCTCTGTATGTGATTATTGCTGCTTTAATTGGAGGACAATTTACCCCTTGTCTAAAGAACACTTGAAGAGAGCCACAGAAAGAAAGTGAAGTAAGCCTGTATATGCGAATAGAAATCTGGACTGAATTCGTTTAATTTGAAAGATTTATATCCATATCAATTTGTCATGATCGTTGCGTATATGCTAAAATAATTTTCGGGTGTTTTTGTTTTCAGGTACTCTGGTAATAAGTAGTGGCTACAAAAATCGTCCCGCACAGAATGAATTGTGCTCCCTCTCCTTATTAATATAAAGAAACTGCTACACAGATGTTTATCTTGAGCTTCGCACAACCCGAAGTTGCGGCAGTGCATAACACTCAATAGCGGGAGAACATTATACTATATCTGGTTCCAGAAAGACACGGTATAGTGATAGCTTTGGTTGGTACCATGTTACAACAAACTAAATTCTTAAATTAAGAAATGAAAAGCATTGTGGTTTCTTGTCCGGAACCATAAACAATACCCCAAGCAACACTGAGGTGCTTCGTCATCCATGTTACATTCAATGTTGGAGCGTTTACATAAAATAACCCCAGTTTCTGCGGAGATAACGATTTTCCTCTCAAATCTAAATGATATTTAGAGAATCTGTTAGATTCGGGTCTACATCGGTATTTATGCACTTATCTGTGCTACTAGAACAATACTTGTTTTAATTTTCTGAACTTATCATGATATAACTACCTAACCTATAATATTTTTTTCAGAAAATAATTCATTGTTTAGACTGACCTATCGTATTCTGAATTCTTCAGTTTGATTTTTACGAACCTCTGAAGAACACATTTTTTGTGGATAAAATAAAATACTTGATGTAAGTAACAAGAAGTTAAATAGAACAGTCATACGAATGACCGTGCGATGCGGTAACGATTAACTGTCCTGCGCCCACCTTTTTTGACCGTTTCTACTCATCCAACACTTAATGGAAGTTGTCAATTGTATGTTCGGTTTCAAAGATTATGTGGTTGGAAACCAATACTATTACGAAATTCTGAAGAACGATGTTATATTGACGGATTTAAATTATATAATTTTGAAAACAAAATAAATAAAGCTTCGAATTAGTCCTAGATTATATTTCTTCACAATGCTCACAAGAATACACATAAATATTTGAAAAATATCTTTCTCGGGAACAAGAAATGGTTACTGCACGCACGTAACCAAGAGACGTCAACCATGTTAGGTCACCAATGATACCAATGAGAAATAAAAGTGAACAGCCGCTACCAGCGATGTAAATGATTTCAATGCCATTGCAATGTTCTGCCACTCAAGTGATACTACCGGTTCGAGATAACACTTCCATGTCCAAGGTTCTGGTACGTGTGACCGGATAATGAGCAAAATCCTCCAACCAAAGCAGTACAAATGGAATCCTCTTCATCTCATACAACATAGGATTCAGCCATGCCCTTCTGTACTAGTATGGTGTACACGGGAACCATCACAAATATGATCAATAAATCAGGGATGGATCCTTAATTCAAATCAAGGGAACAATACTCCTGACGCACCAGCATATTCACCTGGGAGATCACTGAACTACCTCATACTCATCAGCCATGAACAGTGAATGGCTGTCAGGACGAGTAGCAGTAACAATACGGAGACTGATATGCCAAAAACCCAGTTAAGACCACTGAAAAGTAGATAAAATTTCCTGCTCAGATATACGGCGTTTCAGTGTCGGAAGACAATATAGTAAAAAACAAATAAGCTTTTACTAATTAGCAATGGGATTAATATTGCCCCATGTTTGGTATGTGCACTATCTCATTTAAACTCTGTCACTTGTATAGAAGTCAAAATACAACAAGGGACGAGACTTCTCATCACTAGGAGTCGCGGTGGATACAACGCATGAGGTGGAGGCAGCACTCTCGATGTCTCGGAATCCAATGTTTTGACAGTTTTCAGACACAGAGACTTGCTGACAAAATATTTGGTTAGCACGAGAGACTGCGGGGAGACTAACAGTGAGAAAACCAACACGATGATTCAAAGGTTTCACGACGAAGTTCCTGTACGTGATGCAAAAAAGGTCTCCGTTCATTAAAACTCGTGATAATTAAGTCCCTGCCTAATCTGCCACATTTTAGGAACTTCGAGTGCTTGACCGACACACTACAGGCTTGGAACAACAATAGCGATGACTCTCATAGGTGTAATAAGTTCTATGGACTTGGATACACGTATCTCATAGATCTATAACTGTGTACAGACGATAAGAAATACAAAATGTAAAGGCAAACAGGCTCACTCTATGAAAAATGGGCCAACCAATCTTTATACAATGTAACTAATGTATAAATTAAAGAGACCTAATTCAAGCACGGATTTTAGTTACAAAATTCAAGCACTCATAAAGCTACAGACGATATAATTGACAAGATTACAGAGTGCGAAGTAAATAGGAAGAATGTAAAACATATGTTCAGATTGGAGTGATACATTCACTGACAAGAAAGAATGTGTAAGCCAATAGAGAAATAATAACTGTTATTAAACAACTCAGGTGCTAGTTCCGTTGCCGCATCTGAGTATGACCAGCGTAATAGAATGTGTGCTTTTAAAATCTCTCCAGTGTCTTATATGATAGTTATGGTAATTCTCATTGTTTTTGTGTGTCAATTGTGCAACCGTATTTTCACTTTTTTAGTCTTATTTGACCCTGGTTAAAGTTCGCCTTTATAATTTAATTTTGTTATTATGCGATGCCGGACCTTACTGCATGACTAAACTCAAGCTTGGTATGCGAAGCGGTCGAATAGTGTTACTCTATAATCGCATACTGGAAACGTTAGTTAGTCAACTTCATTCTCGTAGATAGAAAGTCGATCCAATTTTGAGAGAATATTATCGTGTATTTCCAGGCATTACATTGTATTTATTAATAACATTTTTACCGTACTGGTCGCTGTTTTGAGCCAGGAAAACTTTTGAAAGGTGAACGGCACTGCTGAGATATTTTGCATTTTTTGAGACCATTTGTCGCCCGAAGAGTGACGCACAAATTACTCACAGAATTTTTGCTTTTATATAATTGTTGACTGGTAATCATTCAAAAAAGCTCCATACACAATATTGGAGAACACGGTAGTTTGTAATAATCAAGTAAACCCTGATTTTTTAAGTCATTTTCTGCATTCATGCCAAATATTAAAAGTTATGTTGTTGCAGTCGGATGCTGATAGGATTGGGTATCAAGGCATCTTCCTGAAAGGACGCAAACAATAATGTAGTTGCCGTCAGTTTGTTTCGTGAACAACTAAAAGCAAATGCTAAAGGCACTGGGTTACTTGTAGGTTAGTGACTGACGCACAACGAATAAAATGTGGAAAGCTAACAAAATTAAATCCAACACTGCTAAGTGACCGGCTCCTCGTCCAAAACAACGATGCCACGCCTCCATGTATGCCAGTAATTATTCTGCAATCAAATATGGCGTGGTCCTCAATGGAACACCGTCATGGCACAAAGGTAACTTTATTTAAGAAACCATTTTAGAGAATGTTCTCCTGTTAGCGCACAATTCAGGTAGGAGCAAATCCCAAAAATCATATAACACTAAAATGGGAGCAGATTACAACCCTTCCTTCCCATGACTTGTATATATTACAAAGGAACAGGTGCAATGCCAGGGCAATAAATGATAGAAGGTGTCTTCGCATAAATTCTGTCACTTGAATTTATTAATATGACTGAAGAAAAGTGCAGACGTGGGACCATCTGTTATCAGGTCTGAACGTGAAGTTATTGATGTAGCTGGCGTCAAGTAATAGAGCTCGATCACTACAATTGACCTGACACCAATGCAAATAGTTCACATCAAAAACCATTTATCCCACAACAGCAACACCAATCTGGATAAGCATCCAAAAATCAGTTTTAAGGCGAACAGAAATGTCTAAGATTGTGTTCGTTCCACACCCTGTACAATATCCACCATAACTCCCATAAACTAATACCCTTTTCAAGAACGAGAAGTGGCTGTCACACCGACGGAAACAGTTATAACCAAACATCAAGGTCACTGGTGGTTTCGATAATGAATGAACTCCATCATCTCTCGTCGCCGAACCTCAATATATAACACATTGATCTCGAATTTTCCGAAAATTTCAAGGTGTACCTTGGCAAACAATGCAAGTGAGAATGTTCAACTCAATGTTACGATAGTGACAAAACTGAGGAGCGCTATTCATGTAAAACGTGGGCCAGTATTATCAGACTTAGCCGAACTGAAACCTGGTAGAACGCGATGTTGTGAAAGTGTCTTATCATACTAAGAGAATGAACGAAATTCCTCCCACTTGTCGTGGACCTGTTTTATGTATGGGAGTGACGATTGCGTCCATCCAGTCCATAGGTAACACACCTTGGTCAAGTGACATATTGAATATCACAGTCAGTGAGGCCGCGATATATTGAGCAATATGTCTCAAGATTTTGAGGGTGTAGCTCATCTGGTCCTGTTGACTTCTCCACGTTTGTGGTGCTAAGAGCTTTAAGCACATCATTTTGGTCGAAGTCCACGGTGAGCAGCTGGTTTGTTGACTCTGTATTTGGGTCTGGTTCTTTCTCTACAGGAGGTTCCTGAGTGAAAACTGCCCCAAAATAGTCAGCCATAGCCTCTGCTTTTTCTTGATCTTCCTCTACCATTTCGGATTCACTTCCTACTTTAATTAAGTTGGGAATCCAATGATGCATCCTTGTTCTGTAGTTTATGTACGAGAATATTCTCTTGGGCTGCTTGAGTGCAGATTGTGCCAGC